GCAGACTGGACAGCTTCCTCAAGCTGGCGTTATCACTCCCTCTAACCACTCTTGGCAGGCAATCTAATTCCCCCTGAAAAGGTCACCGCCATTTTAACTGCCTTTCAATCACATTAAGCACGCTGCCGCTCGTGCTCAGAGCACTGCGCCTGCAGCTCTCCTGACTGAGGTGCGATCGATAAACTGACATCCCGTCCCCCACCCGATCTCCCCAACCGCCCCATCCGCTGCTCGCCTCCTTCCCCTCTCCTGGACAAGCAGCCTTCCCGGAACGGATGGCGAGAGACCAAGTGACAAAAACCTCTCCTCAAAGGTGAAGCAGCAGAAGGGAGCTGCTAACTTGGCATTTACTAATCTTTGTCCCATCTGCTAAGAAACAGAAGGGTGCAAGCATCCCCCCCTCCTTCCCTAGACCTACAGAGGCAGCGACTTCACAGGACACTTTGCTCAGGCACCGGTCCAGACACCTTTGAAGCTCTGTTAAAAAGAACAAGCCTCCCTCAAGCTTCCCTCAATGCAATCATTACCGTTCTCTCTCCCCCGTGCTGCTGTTTTTTTTTTCAGCTACAAGTTATGTGTTCCACCCATCGATCCCTGTGTAAGACACTGTTTTAAGTCCTCTTGCCTTTTGACTGTGCTAAGCCGTTTAGGAGATGACAGCGGCTTCTATCAGTGCGAAGCTGATGCGATTCTTTTCAGATAAAGCACTTTTTTTTCCACTTCCCCCCTCCCTTTTCCTTCTTTCAAGTAAGAGACATACACACAAAAAGAGACACTGAATCTTTCAAAGAAAAAAAACCCTTTTGAACTTCCCTCAGGAATTCTTTAAAGGGATAACCTTACAGTGTAAACACTGAGGGTAATGTGCATCCATTCTGGAGAGGGAACAGAAGAATTGCTACAAATACGTTGAGCATTAAAAAAAAAACATCAGAGAGGGAGCCACTTGATGCTTTCACTTGCGAAGCCGGGTTGGCTTCCTAAACACAGAAACTCATTAGACAAAGATGGCATGAAATAATCCCCTGCAACAAAGAGCTTCGGAGAGGGATGATCCAGAGACATGGGGATAGGTGGTTACTGAATGTTCAGGTATTTCAAGAGAAATTTTAGTCTTGCGACACTGTTCAAAGATAGGGAAATATTTAATTATTACATCTGTATAGCTTTTCACTTTGAAGCATCAGCTTGATTTAAACAGCGCTTGGTATTTCATGCTGTAGCCTTCTGTACCCATCCCAAACAGAAGCAAGAACTCTCCTGCTACAAACCCCTCCTTCAAGCAGGACCTCTGCTGAAACAAAGTGGTTCCAAATCCTATATAATTGCCAATAATCTTAAGTTACATCCTCCAGTTTTGGGTAAGCAAATTAAGCAACAGCAAATGATGCTTTAAGAAGCCAGGAGGACAGCTAGAAGTACAAAATATTTCCTGACTGAATGCCTTCACCAAACCCAACAGCTTAAGAGACAACACACTGATCCCAGCACTTCTCAGTTACATCATATTCCTACTTGCTGCCATCTCCTGTTCTTTCCACCTGCTGCCTCAAGTATGCCAAGCTGTGGCAGGCAAGGAGGTGTGCTTTGGCTCTGCTGCACTAGACCCGACTGGGGATTTGCAGCTGCAACACCAACACAGAAGACAAAGAATTTCCACCTTCTAAGACAGCCCCTCAGGTGAGAGGAGCAAGTTTTCCCTGCAACCCCTTTGGAAGCAAGAAAGCTTCATCCTAGGAACGACACAAGTGAGAGTTTCAGCCTGTGATTGCTCCCTAATATTAGACCACCTTCCAGAAAACCTGAGCAGGGCTGTTCATTTCCCTGACCTTTCTGTTTTCAAGAAGAAAAACCCCAGGATCTCCCAACCTTCCCCCACCTGAGAACCTGGCAGGATCTTTCATATAATAAGCAAAGAGTTTTCCTCACCTTGAGAGTGATATGAGTTTTATTCGTTAACCAAAAATGATAAAAAGAAGCAGCCAGGACCTGTGGTAAGTTTGAGTCACTTCTGTCATGCTGCCCAATGGTCTGACTGACTCATGCAATACACGCTGGCCACAGTGTCCCACTCCCTCTTTGCCCAGCTGTGACATCTCCTCAAAGCAACACACCATTAAAACCAAAATTAATGAGACACATGGACACCTACTTTCCCCTCTGGTTTTATGTATTTCCCCGTGTCATCTCTTTAGACACTGGTGACATCCCTGTAGCCTGGCAAAGGCTGTCTGGCATTATAAAAGGCCTTCGATTTCCACATCGCTGCTACATCTCAGCAAAGGGAACAGAGCCAAACACAAAGCCTCAGGTGACGGGGGTTAACGAGGGCCTTGCTAACTCCACAAAAAGCAGTTTTAAGCATTAGAAAGCATCTCCAAAATGTTGTGCTGTGCTTCAGGGCTGTAAATTAAGAATTCTGTCCCTAAAACAAGGCAAGAGCCAACACTGGCAGAGAAAGGAAAAAGACAAGTCACCTTAAGGTTACCTGAGAGTGCACAAAGCAGGCCTGACTGATGGAGACCTCTGAATGCCAGCAGCCAGAGACAATACGAGAACCATAAAAGGGAGCATGAAAAAGTATAACTTGCTTAAAAAGAAATACAATCAGCCAGCTACAGGAGATCATTCCAGCTTTGCTTTGGCTTCCCAAATTTTACAGAAACTTCTTGCGCAGAATAGGTAGGTACCCTGCAGATATTATCTGGTCATCCCAAAATACTAGGTGGAAAGTTGGTGGCAAAAAGCTCCCCTGTTTAGGGAAGAGGACACCTCTCTAGAGGACCTGTTGAATCCAGCTGCCAGCAGAGGTGTGCTCCAGAGGAGGAAGGGCAGGGAGAAACGCATGCCCTAGGGACCTGCCAGCTGCTCAGGTGGAGTCATTTCTTCAGCAGTGGCTTTGCCTCTAAAAGCTGCACAGAGAGGATGCTCCTCACTACAAATGCTACAGGGAGATTCCTGTGCTTGTGAGCTGATCTACAGACACCTTTCATGCAGCAAGACAAAGGGAAGAAGTCTAATCCAAAAGCCTTCCCATCAGGATGATTACGGAGAGTTTTAGAACTGCATCTGGTTGTGCTCTACTCTTCTCCTAGTCTTCTGATCCTTTACTGGATCTGTTCATGTAACTAAACACTCTTGAAGGTGTCATGAAGGTCTCAAAAAGGGAAGAAGAGACAGACCCCATACTTCCTGATGGAAGCAACGCTATTTCTAAGTATGAAATACAGAAGTACCTGTCCATGTGCGTGCAGCCATCTAGCAGGGGTTACAGCCCTGACTGTTGCTAGAATCTGTCTAACCTCTGGTGGAGGAAAGCTGTTGATCTATATAACGCAAGCTAACACATTTGAGAATTCCTTAAAATAAAGAAGAAAATGCAACAAGGAGCAAGTACTTTGCATTTACACAGCCCAATCACATCAGTTACACACATTTCATCCACCTGAAGCCTCATTCAAAAGAGGGTCTCCACATGACTCAAGCAGTATGAAAGGTTCAGATCACACTTCAGTGAGTTAGCTCAAAACCAACTGGGAATGTTAACCAGGTGAAGACAGCATAATGTCCACACCTAAGGAACCACAAGATTGTGCTCTCCTCAAACTCAGGTGTTCGGTGGGGGTGAAGGAAGAAACTACGCATGCACAAAAAAGGGCAGAAATGAACCGAGTAGCTTTTTCTAATCAGGACTAGCAGTGACAACAACAGAGGCACACAGACATCCCATGCTTCCCCACTACGGATTGTAGTAACTATACTACATTAACATAGTCTAAGGCCCTGCATGGTCTCATCAGACCTCTACCTGGAATCATGTACAAACTCAACTCTCCATGCAGGCACGAAAAAAGTTAAGGCAGGTAAGGCTACAGACACAGGAAGCGACAGTGTGAGCTTTACTGGGTAGCCTTTAAAACCAAAAGAAGCTGCTCCTTCACCTCTGTGCTCCTCATCATCTGCTCTGCTACAACCCAGCTACAATTTAATTTCAGAGGAAGGTAAGAGCAGATCAGGAGCGTTAGGTTGTCAGTGAGCACACGGCCGGCTTTTAAGTCCAACTCCCTTATGTAGTAGCGTTTCCCCTTGAGATATTTTAAATTAAAATCCAAGCTGATACAGGAAGAGATCACATCCCATCCTCTTTATTGAACGCAGGGAGCCAGCATTCCTCTTCTCATTAGGCATGCACTACGTGGATTGCTTGCAAGAGACTCTCCTTAGTGCCAGAGGTTCACGCCAACGAACAGTTTAGTAAATCCTCCTCTTCGAGGCCAAAGGGCTGAGTGTAAGAAAGGGGCCAGGTTTCTAGCTAAAATTACATTCACCAATAAAGCTCACGAGAGGTCAAATTTTGCCATAACTCACTCTCTTCTCAGTAACTGATTTCCCCGTCACTGGGGAAGGAGCAAAAGAAGGAGGAAAAATAAAATGTGTTTGTCTGGGAGCCCTAAGGGCTTGCTGTGCTGGAGGTGCAGAGCAGGTTCCTGGATTCTCATTTATCAACCTTAAAAGGGATGGAGTGATAAATGCACAACCGGCCCTTTAATATTTTATGCAGGTGCTAAAGCGACTTAGCTGTCACCTTCAATACATCACCAGAGGCCGATACACCAGCTTTCGTCACTCCAGGCTGGGAATTTTTACAATTTCATTTCTATTTCCCTCTCTTCACATATTTCCACGTATTTCTTACTATGTGTAGCATAAAAAGCTATTTTCCCCAAATGATCTTCCCATTCTACCCATTCCTACTCATTCCCTCTTCAGCCACATTTCTTGAGCAAGAAATAACGCCACGCTTTTGTTCAAAATTTGCACAAATTTTGACTCTCATCATTCAAGAGAGGCAGAAAGCTGAAATCACTTTACATTCTGGCAAAGGCTGAAGGTCCCGCCCTTTGTGAAAAGCAAATCTCTAGGTCCCTCCCTTGAAAGATAGACAATGATCAACTTCCACAACAGAATGATTTACAAGGGCCCCCAAAACACTGGCGCACCTCGAAATCCTCCCTCTAGGAGAGTAGTAGCCCGTATCCTCTTCTGCCCGCACCATTCGTACTCTTCAAAGCGGTTGCCGTTCTCATTCTCGATGTCCACAGAGTCATCCTCAGTCATGCATGAACCTTCTCTCTGCACAGGGTAAAGCAGGGGCAGCGCGTTGAGATGCATGAAATAACTCTTTGGGGTTAATAACTCAGGGTGGGATGGAGAAGAAAAGCTGGACTGTTCCCAGGACAGCTAAGTATAGAGCGGACAGCAGCATCTACTCCCACCCCCATTCCCAGTGATCTAAATCTAGAAGTAAATGGGTGCTGGAAGAACTTGACAACCTTAAGATCAAAATAAGTTGCAAGGTTCATCATGTTTACACATGGAAATTTAAGCTCTGGTTCCTGAAACAATGCTGGCGGGCATTTCAACATGCATCCCCCTACCTTGCATGCAATTCCCCTATCATGTAGAATGTTCTCCTAGAGCGTATTTTTTGGGGCACAGTGATCAAAAGACACCTCTCTTTACACCATGCACCTCTTGAGGCAACAAGAATGAATTTGTTAGCATCTCTATTGTGGGCTTTCATGAAAAACTAGCACAGAAAGCCCTACGACACAACTCTCTCCCTCCCCTAGGGCTTGCTCCTCCTTCTTCCTTGCTGTCTTTGGGATGAACAGTGAGAGAATGGTTCTGCTCAAATGCACTTCCTGGAGAAGATGGTCATGCAACATTCACAAATGGCAGTCTGTTACAAAAGAACCCAACAAAAAATAATTCTAATGTTGTCAAAGGTAGAGATCAGAAAGAACTCTTCTTGCTGTGCTACACAGAAAGCATGAAGTCCTACAAAAGGCTTCATAAACTTCAATAGCTCTACCTTTACAGTCTACAACTTATATTTCAGTAACAGTGAAAGGGTGCATAAAGTTACTAATGCAACACGGGAGAAAAATCCAGAAGAATCCATCTTCCAAGACAAAGAGAAGTGACTACAGATCTTAAGGAGACATAGTTAGCATTGCCTGCAAGCTCAGCAATGTTAGTTTTTGCCCCATGTTAGGTCAACTGCAGACAAAGCTGGGAGTAGGGAGAAGGGAATGGCAGCTGGTGATTCTGCTGCGCCTCTACCTTTGCAAGGCATTGTTCCACATGCCTACTCATCTCCTCCTCGGATCCTGACAGAGGTCGGCTGCAGAGGGGACATACCTGCCCTTCGTCTTGCTTCCTCCGTTTCATTTTTCCAATCCGAGCTGCATGGAGAAACCAGGGAAAGAAAACAAACAAACAAAAAAAACACACAAAAAAAGGAAGACATGTCAAGTTTGCAGATCCACTCTTCTCTCTATTTGCTCAGCTCCAAATAAAAAACCCTTGGCAGAAATAGTAAGATTTCACACCAGAAAATCCCATTGCAACTCCCTATTCTGATCTCCATAAAAAGTACAGAGACTGTTACTTAGCACTTTCCAGATTAAGACTGTAACCTGTGGCTGAGTACAGCCTGACTTCACAAAGGCAGCTGCTCGCGATTTAATAACTAGGAGATGGAATATCTGCCGCACATCCCCAGGTAAGTTATTCAAATGGTTAAATACTTTCTCTTGGGAGCCTAAATTGTTTTCAAAGTTGAGTGATCAAGCCACTGAATCCTGTTCTGGATTTTGCCTTCTAAGTCTGAGACCCATCCACTAACACCTCTATTTCCTATACAGGAACTTGCTCAGACCGTAGAAGGATGATGTAGCACCTGAAAAGCCTTGGACAAGGTACATAACAGTCACTTCCAGGACCACAGAGTCTCCTGTACACTCTGAATAATTCCCTCCCAGAACATCACGAACAAGTCAGAGCAGCATCTTAGCAGCAGGTAACATTTATGGAGAGGAAAGATCTTTGCTGTGAAAAATGCAGCACCTATGCTAGACAGCTTCTAGCTCTCTCTGTTATTTTTATTTTACTATTTTCAGTAGAGAAAAACTGGGGGCTACACTGCCTTCTTGAGGGCACGCTCTGGGAAACAAACATGTTAGGAATCACAATCATTAGAAAAAGCAGCCAAGGTAGCCTGTTGCTTAATCCAATCTCTGGTTAATTTGAGCCATCGTTTAATGTGATCAAAGCATCTGGAACCAAATAATTTGCATTAAAAAGAACTTCTGTCCTTTATTATGATGGCTTTAGGCAGGTATTACTGAATAACTCAATCACTGGCTGCAGGAAAGTTGCTGTTTAATAAGGAAGGTCAAAATTCTGAACAAGAGACAAGGAAAAGCCCAAGGAAAGCCCATGTGATAATGAGAGATGACACCACCAAAAAGCTGCGTTAGCCAGAAATCGTTACTGACATCGTGAGCACTGCAGCATGGTCCGAAAGCCTTCATGCCTGAATACTGTGGGATCAACAGCTCCCTGCAGCCAACGAGTCAGAGAAAGCTGCCGGAATGCCAGGAAGACAAGGAAAGTTTCTGTCAATCGTTCTCTAAAGTGCATCAGTTTATAACTCACTTGGTGATGTGGATGCACTGAAGTTTCATCTGAATACACCCACACAGACCTGAAAGGCCTCTTTCAGGGCTTTCTTGTTGGCTTGCCCGGATTCAGGACTGTCTGGGTTAGGATATACTTTCCCACAATGCAAAATTAGGAATATTCACCATCCCTTACACTCTGTGATGCTCCAGGATTAAGGAGGCTTCAAATTATTCCCTGGGCATTGCTTTTCCTCACTGAACTATAGGGATTTGTAGGAAAACTCCCTCCAAAACAAATCTTCCCTCCTAGCATCATGAAAAGGCTTCTGCAAATGTGACATTCCTAGAAAAAGAGACAGCAACTTGAGACCACAACAAGGGTGTTTCTGAGACCTGGCACTTTGAACAATAGAGACTGTCAAGTAAACGCACACCACTTTCATCAGTCATCTAAATTTCTTTTGCTGAAGCTCCACAACCCTCTCTTGTGTTGGATACACTACACTGACAGCTCCACAGCCCACCTGCCCCTCCATACCTGAAGTACTTCAGGTACTTCAGTATTCCTAGTGGGATATTTTAATAGTTTCCCTTCTATTTTGTCTGCTTAAATCTGTTATTTCACCTACACTGTCATCTTCCACTCCAGAAGGAAAACCGCTTGGCTTCCAGTCAATACAGAAACAAACATCAAGAAGTGTTACTGCTAATTTCAACGTGCCCAGATGAATTATGTTCCACTTTTAAATAAAACAATGACCCCAAACATGTCTTCTGTGTTCTCTCCCCTTCCTGAACCCCAAAATGCTATCCCTCCTTCCCCTTCAACATCATCGAGATCTGTCACCAGAAGTAGTCAGAGTTAAGCCATGCTCTTTCTGGTTTGTACTTTAGTGCGCAAGAGACTTCTGAAATTCTGGTTTAGTGAATACCTATATCCTCCAGTATGGCTCTTTCCTTGCCTCGCTAGTGCTGCAGAGCCAGGACAAAATAGGGGAGGAGGCTGGAATCAGACACGACTTGAGCATTCTCCAGCAAACACCTATCTGACCAGAGAAAAATACAGGAACAAAGCCTTCTCTATCCTGATTGCAGACACATCCTTCTCTCACCTCATCCTGTTTTTAAACAGGGAAACATAGGGAAGGAGCAGTTTAATTATTCTGGTAGGACTCCCTGTGGCCAATGAATTCAGCTAAGTCAGTCTGCCTGGCAAGTTTGTTCGTATTTTTAACTTTTTTACTGCCATCCTCCAGTCCATGCACTATAACAGTGATAAAAGGAAGACAACTTGTTTTAGGTCTTGCACTGATAGATTCTTGGGACCATTTTGCCAGTACAAGCACCTGATCTACTGTTGAAATGTTAGTGCAGAGCTGGGAACAGAACCTCACTCTGCTCTAGCTCCACACAAGGCTCAGCAGACAGCCCCTATCTTGGCTCATTTAGCTCCGCCAAGAAGCAGCCCTTTAAGTTCTAGCGCCACAAGTGAAAAAGCCACTGGAAGAAAGAGGTGTTGAAAACAAATCCCCCTGCCGTTTTTATTGTGTGGTCATTAGCAGCGGCAGTGTTGTGCCCACGGAGGCCCAGGGTGCCCCTGGTGACAGCAGAATCCAAAAGGGAATGCTGCAGCCTAGAAAGCACATCCTGAGCAGCGCTGTCCCTACCCGACACGACACGCAGCCCAGCTATCACTTCCAATCAGCGCGGAAGGGACGGAGCGGCCCCAAAGGCAGGGGGTGATTGTGGCGCTGTCCCGAAGGGGAGCAGCTCAAAAGAACACGCAAGTGAGACCACAGGATTGTTAATTAGTGTTGATAGATGCGATCATTTCTAATTAGCTCACTAATCCCTCTCCCCCTCGCTTCTGTCACAGGAGCATGGGGGTGGGGGTGAAGCCATTCTCTCTTGTAATTCAGGAACATAAAAACGCAGCCAGCGCAGGACTGGATGCAAGAAGAGGACGGAGCTCAGGGAAGGAGGTTTTTGCACAAGGCTGACCCATTCTTATCTCTGACTGAACAGAGACTCTAGTTATTATTCCAGCCTTCTGCCAGGAGGTGAGGAGTTCACTAATTTTTATTAGCATTACTAATTATCACTAGGCCATCAGAGGGCTTCCAACACCTTTGAGGCCTCAGTTTTAACAGATGTACATTACCCTACACACTGCTCCTGCTGCATGTGCGTGTTCTCCCTCAGGTTACATTAAACCATGGGGCACCCAGGGAATTTAAATGGCCATAGCATATGAATGAGAAAGTAGCACATGGAGGTGAGCAAGAATTGGGACCCTCTGCAAGGGCTGGGGTCTCAGTTACAGTCTCTGACTTAAGAGCTGTGCTGGCTAAGGGAGCTGCTCTTCCCTTTCCTAATACAGGGTCTTTGGGATTATGCAAGGAGGGAAGCTGCTTGCACTAAAGGAGGAGCCAAACTGCACTTGACAAAGCCTCTACGGCTGAGGGTACACTGGCCTCTGCCTTCCCACAGGTACAGAGAGAAGGAGCCAGCCCACCTCCCATCCACAGACACTGCTGCCTTACCGGCAGAAGAGACTGAGGATTTTTTCTCACAACGGGCTCTCCCCATCAAGGCTAAGCCTTATTAATGCCTAAAGATCATGTTATTCTCTAGCCCAGCAAAACTTCCTGAGATAAAAGCTAATGGGTTTTAGTTTTCACTGGTACTCCCCTCCCCAAGCAAAAATTCACTTTTAGGACAGGGCACTAATTACCTCAGAAGTGCTCTTACATAGCATCTAGCAGTGGACACCATACAAACCTCTACCGCAGCATCAAAGGAGATGATTAAGTTACTAGCAATATCTCTTATGATTCCTTCCACCAGTTTGAGTGGTCCCCCGAGTGCCATGCAGACATCATTAGCAGCTCCTGCAATGGCAGGCCAATCAAATTAAGTGGAAACATTTTTGTCTCCTTTCCAGAGAAAACAACCCAGCTTTATTCCTCCCCCACCCATCAGCTACAAAAGCACACGACACGCTGGTGGTGGTTCAACAACAAACTGCATGGTGACCACCTCCACCGAGGTCTGCCCAGAGAGGCAGGCTTATGGTCACCACCAATACAGGAATTGGCTTCTCAGGCAGGTGCAAAAGGAGCTTTGTAAGGACCTATTTCACAACAATGCCAACTTTGCAAATACCCTTGAATTTGAATCAAAGATATTCAAGCACAAGAGTTAGCACCTGCTCTCTGCAAATCTACTAGAGGAGTCTTGAGGAGCGGTTATACCTATTTTTGTTAGGCCTATCACAAAAAGCTTCTGTGGTTGATCAACTTCTCCAAGAGCATCTGATCCAAGGGAACAAAGGCAGCAATGGCAGAGCACAAAAAAACATCTCAAGAACAAGCTAAAGCAAGAAAACAGACAGTCAAGAATGAGTCTGTTTCAGGCTTTGTGTACAATTTGCTACTCATCTGCTTGAGAGAGAAAATGAGGGCCAAATTCACAGGAGGGTCTTAGTGGGGCTTTCACAATGAGGCCAAACTTCCACACAGATGATTTTCAGCAACTTTCAATCTGACACTATTCTCCGAGGTTGGCACGTACTTAACCTGCTGAATCCATGTTCTGATACACTAACCCATAACTTTGTGCCTCTAATTTTGAATGACTACCTAACCTGCTCTGCACGGCTAAACTCTGTAAGCATCAATTTACAGGGTGGCTTAAAGTTTCCAGTTTGGCAACACTGGAAATAAGGCAAATGAAAGAAATTCCTTCTTTATCACATGGGTTCATCAGGAATCA